GAAAGCCAGAAAATCAAGTAGCATACAATCTATAATAAAATGCCCTCTGGCTACATTCTTACTGAAAACAATAAAAAGTGCCACATTTTGAAAAGATATCCAGATTACTTCATACCCAATGTAAGAACACATGCTGTGATGTCAATTTTTTTTTTTAGATCCTTAAGTGACCAAGTCAAAATGGAATCATGGACATGGATGTCAAAATAGACATCATGATGCCAAGGGTTATGTACTACAACAACTAATGTAACAGCAGATATTGAATAAATAATTGTTTAATTAAAGTTGGTATTTCTTCCTTCTCTAGATCTTAGCTTAATTATCTAAAAAGTCATAGAGTTGGACTAGATCTCTAGAAGCCCATGTCTTAAGAGTTCTAAAATTAAATGACAAAATTTAAGCACAATTTCATTACAGCTTATTATTTTTAAAATAATAAAATAGCTTAATATTTTAAAAATCTTATCTGGTTTCAGCTCAGATGTAAGAGCATCAACCCCACCATTACAATAAGGAAAAAGCTATAAAAACTGCCAATTAACAATTTTTCTTGATCCTATTAAGGAACTGAGGTGGCAGGGCAACTAGTAACCTGAAATCTGAGGGTACACAGGGGCTTGCAGATCAGGACCTAAGCATTTGCTTCAGCTGCCACATACGGAAGTAAGATGATTCAGTTAAATGTTTTTAATGAATTGCTAAAAAGCTAAGTGTAGACCAGTCTGAGTATGTCAAGCCCCTGGGGAACACATATAAGCGGGAACTCTCTTACAGGTTTTTCATACACAAATAGCTCTAGGGGCTCACAAGAAAGATCAGGGGAACCCTGAGCAAACTTCCCACAGGGTGCTGGCTAGAGGAGGGATTTAGCAGCCCTGCCAAAACTCTACCCAAGCCTATTTCCCTTATACCCTCTGTAAGGAGCAAAGCTTTAATATACAGGAAGAGAAAAAACAACAACTGTCACCTAGTGCACTGTAGAAACTTGTTGCAGCTCAGAAAGGAAACAGGGAAAAAAAAAAGGTGCTTCATCTTTGGGGAAGAGTCAGGAAGAAGTGCTAGGCCAAAACTAAAGCTGCAGGAGTTGAAGCAATTGTGAAGGCCACACCCCAAGACCTAGGAACACTATGCCTGTCAAAAAATAAAGATTAATTAGAACATCAGAGAATGTCCCTCTCTCCAAATTACCCACCACTAATAAAAGTTTAGTAAAATTAGCAATGGAATAGACCTGACAGAGCTGCAAGAGGTTCTCTCTGGGAAATAGCACAAAATAAGAAACCACAGTCCAGGAAAGATTACACATTGGAAAAAAAAAAACTTCTGAAACATTTTAACGGTATTTGAAGCATTCAGTGCATTGAGCGTAACCACGTCAACAAGCAACATCAAAGTCAGACAAGTCTTGACTACATTAACACAAACCCGTAACACTAAAGGTTTAACAAGAAGCGTGTTCATCTCAAAGCATTAAAATATTTATCTCAGTATCTACTGTCTTATTCAAGATGTCTGACTTCAACAAAAATTAAAAGGTATACAAAAAGGCAAGAAATGATACATTCCGAAGATACCAAGAAATGCTCAGGACCAGACTCCTATAAGACACAGATATAAGAAATACCAGACAGTTCGTTTAAAATAACTATGATTAATATGATAAAGGATTTAATGGAAAACATAGACAATATGCAAGATCAGACAGGTGGTTTCAGCAGAGAGATTGAAACTATAGAAATAATCAAATAAAATACTAGAATTAAAAACAAAACAAAAACAACAAAAAGAAAAAAATTACAATAACACAAAGGATTCCTTCAATGGGCTCACAAACAGGCTTGACACAGCCAAGAAAAGAATAAATACACTTGAAAATAGGTCAAAAGAAACTACCTAACCTGAAACACAAAGAGGAAGAAAAAATGGAGAAGAAGGAAGAGAAAGGAGAGGGGAAGAAAAGAGGGAAGGGATGGAGAAAAAAAAGGAGGGAGAGTGAGAGGAATCCAAGAGCTGTGGAACAGTATCAAACAGTGTTATGTAAGTGTTATGGGAATCTCAGAAGAAGACGAGAGATAAAACGGGGCAGAAAAAAATATTTGAAGACATGATAGCTGAGAATTTCCAAAAAAAATAATGACAGACACCAAGCTCTAGATCGATCCAAGAAGCTTAGAGAACACCAAGCAGAATGAATGCAAAAACCAAATAAAAGAGATACACATAATATTCAAATCCCTGAAAATGAAAAGCAAAGAGAAAATCTTGAAAAAATGGCATATTTCCCAGAGAGGGGCAAAGATAAGAATTTCAGCAGACTTCTCATTAGAAATCATGCAAGCAAAAAATATATATATACACACACACACAGAATTCTATCTTTAAAATGTTAAAGAAGCTTTCAACCCAGAATTCTATGGTCAGCAAAAGAAAAACCCAAGCAAATTAAACCCAAAGCAATCAAAAGAAAGGAAATAATAAAGTTAAAAGCAAAAATCAGTATTTTGTAAACAGAAACATAATAGAAAAAAAAAAATCAATGAAGCCAAAAGCTGGTTCTTTGAAAAGACTGACAAAATTGTTGAACACATAGCCAGAGAGGAAAAAAAAAGAAAGAGAGAAGACAAAGCCAACATCAAGAGTGAATGAGGGCACATCACTATAGACCCTTAATACACTAAAAAAGACAATAAGAAAATATTACAAACTACTTTACACACACAAATTCAACAAGATGAAAAATCCAACAAGTTGGACAAACTCCTTGAAAAACACAAACTACTAAAACTCACAAAATAATGTGTTCCTACCTCAATGAAATTATATCTATGCACTCTGAAGTCAGACTTCAAAGACATATGACCTTAGGAAAGCACCTTATTCTCTTGATGCCTTTGTTTTCCCATACGTAAAATGAAGAAAATGGCTATATTTACTGTAAAGCATTGTGAAAATTAAATGACTAATGTGTGTGAACTGTTTAGAACAGAATCTGATACGTGGCAAATATTACATGTGTTTATTATTTGTCTAAAATTTATTATGTTAAGTGAAATAAGCCATACGCTGAAATATAGAAAGACGTATGCATGATCTCACTTATATGTGGAATCTAAAAATGTCAAATTCATACAAATAGAGTGTAGAATGATGGTTACCAGGGGCTGGGGGGTTGGGGAAATGGAGAGTTGTTGGTACAAGGGTACAAACTTTCAGTTGTAAGATAAATAACTTCTGGAGACCTAATGTAAGGCATGGTGAATGTAGGTAACAATAATGAATTATATATACTTGAGTAGATCTCAGGAATTCTCACCATACCAAAAAAATGGTTATTATGTGAAGTAATTGATATATTAATAGCTTGATGTGGTGATCATTTCACATTGTATAGCTGTATCACAATATTACATTGTATACCTTAAATATATACAATTTTTATTTGTCAATCATACCTCAATAAAGCTGGGGGAGGAGGAAGAAAAATGTAAAAAAATTCAAAATAAAACTAAAATACACACTTTTAGAATACATACACAACTGGGGGCGGTGGTAATTGCATGAAGAAAAGCAAAGGAATAAACATTGGAAAAGTTCAGGGCAGTGTTTACCAGAGGGTGTTTGGGAGAAATGAATGGGATTTTAAGACAGCTTATTGGGAGGTCTAATAGTCTTGGTGATAGTATATCTTAACTTGCATACTAGGTTCAAGGATGTTTGTTTTACTGTGCTTCATAACTTGCATGTATCTTATATACATTTGTATATAACAAGTTAATTCATCAGAATAGTATTAGGGTTAGAGTGGGAGATACAGAACTTACTGTAATAAATGCATTACCTTCGCAAATAAAAAATAATGAACAAAAGACAGAGAAAAAGAGACCAATTTTAAGACTTCTCCCCTATGCTTCACGATACATCTAAACAACCTGAATGTTTTTTTCCAAAAACATGTGCAAGTAATTACATAACTACATGGTTTCTTTGGCTCAATTTCAGGGAAACTATTTTTGGAATATTCATAAAATGATAACTAAAGTGCAGGGTAGTTTAAGCTAGAGTCCAAAAAGGCTTCTCTGTTTTTCAAACTCTAAGAAAATGAGGACTTTTCCATAAAAAATGACAGAGTGATTAAGCTTTATGGTAGGCAGTAAACTATGATGTGATACCACATTGAAAAATAAAATATAATTATTAAGTTAGAATACCAGAACTCCCTGGGAACAGATTTTATAAAGGTAAAAACCAGTGTATTTTTTTTTTTTTTTTTGAGTCAGAGGAGTCTCACTCTGTTGCCCAGGCTAGAGTGCCGTGGCATCAGGCTAGCTCACAGCAACCTCAAACTCCTGGGCTCAAGCAATCCTACTGCCTCAGCCTCCCAAGTAGCTGGGACTACAGGCATGTGCCACCATACCCGGCTAATTTTTTTTTTCTATATATTTTTAGCTGTCCAATTAATTTCTTTCTATTTTTGGTAGAGACAGGGTCTCACTCTTGCTCAGGCTGGTCTCAAACTCCTGAGCTCAAACGATCCACCCGCCTCGGCCTCCCAGAGTGCTAGGATTACAGGTGTGAGCCACCGCACCCAGCCAAAACCAGTGTATTAATATAATTTCATCCTTACCCAGAAATAGCTATAACTCTGAACACCTACTTTTCCATTGTGAAAGTAAGTAAAATAACATATTGCTCCTACTTAAAAGAATAAAGTGAATTATATACTATACTTTGCAATATCAACTGCAAGACCTAGCATGGCATCTCAGAGAAGAAAAGGTTTCAAATTTCAATTTCCAAATCAAAGGAGCAACAAATGACAATAGAAAAATTCAATACTTAAATGTTTCTATGTTTCCACGTACAGAATTTCGATATCAAATGTAAAATATATTTAAAATATGTGTTTGTATTATATTATGTGCTACTATCAGCAAGCAATAAAAATAAAATTTGATTATAGTGCTAGTACTGGGTGCTTTTTTACCTAGACCACTTCACTGATTTATATTAGCTGCAAAAACCTCTTACGATTTCTGTAACTGAGCCCTGCTGATTCCACGAACGCATGGGCACAATCATTTCTATATGTTACTGTAGTGAAGCAAAGATTATGTCTCATCTTTTTATCTCCCACAAAACCTAGCACAATGGCATCTACCAAGTAGTCACTCACTAAATGAATACTGAATAATTTACTTTAAAGAACCACAACCTGATGTAAAGAGATTAATTCTTTAAGGCTTTTAAGCTATTAATATTTTAGAATCAACATAACTATTATAGAAATGTGTTACTGAGATCCCTCAACTATACAAAAATATGAATTAAAACATGTTACAAAATAAATATTTCCTATGTTTCTTTAGCAAGTCTTTGCATAAATATA